AGCCAAATGTTTGGCCAACATTTTACTTTAAAATTAAATCAGAAATTAATAACAATCCTATGAAACCCTTAAAAGTGCTCGAAAGTAACTCTCAGAATTGCTGCAAAATTTCTCAGTATTTTCTCATCCTCCTATATATATTTTTTTTAACATCGACATCCAAAATAATGTTTTAATGATTTCTCATGATATGTTATTGTCTGTTAATTATTAACAGGGACAAGATATTTTTCATGTTTTTATTACAACTAAGCAATATTTGCATAGATTAAATCAATCTTTTGTTTGCCTAGCCTGAGTACTTCACTTAAACTAATGTTTTTACGAAATTTAAAAACAGTTCCAAACATGGAGGAAAGAGCTCCAAGCCTTAATAGGTTAGAAAGGTAGAAAGTGATGGGCCTTATAGGAGTTATAATTACTAATCTTGAACAGCTTAAAAGTTTGATTTCTGTGAATTGACTGGAGTATCATCTAAGACACAAGTATCCCTAAAGAGTTGAACGTGGCTATAATCAAGTCTCTAGAGCCAAATTCAGTTTACAGAGAATAAAAGAACAAGTTAAATGATGTGAGAAGGAAGCAATGGACAAATTCAGATTGTTGGACATTTCTGCTGATAACTGATCCAGTTTCTGCAACAAGTAAATGGCAGGGAAAAAAAAGAAGGGAAGACTGGCCCAATTTAAAAGAGACAAAAAGAGAAAACATAGCTGAATGCAATGTATGTTGGATCCTTATTCTCAAAATCAACTGTAAAAATACATTTTGGAGACAATCAGGAAAATTGTATTTATTTATTATTTATTTTATTATTATTATTTTTTTGAGACAGTGTCTCACTCTATCACCAGGCTGGAGTGCAGTGGCACGATCTCAGCTCACTACAACCTCTGCCTCCTGGGTTCAAGCAATTCTCCTGTTTTGTATTTTTAGTAAAGATGGGGTTTCACCGTGTTGGCAAGGATGGTCTCGATCTCTTGACCTCGAGATCCACCCCCTCGGCCTCCCAAAGTGCTGGGATTACAGGCATGAGCCACCACGCCCAGCCAGGAAGACTTTATTATGGAGTTGTTAATTACATGATGCCAAAGGATAGTTATTAATTCTGTTAGGTGCAATCAGGGCAATGTGGCTATGTAAGAATATGTTCATATTTTTTGAGATGCACAATAAGATATGTAAATGAAATAATATGACATCTGGGCTTAAAATATTTTGCACAAGAAAAAGACAAGAGAGATGTGAGTCAAATGTGGCAAAATTTTGATAAATGTTGAATATGGGTGACAGGTAAGTGGGAGTTCATTGGTGTGTGTTTTAAAATAGTCACAATAAAATTTGTAAAAGGCAAAGGCAAAAATGGATTGACATATCCTTACTGAAAGTAAATAAAAATGATTTTAAAAAATATTGGCAGGGGCAGGTTGTGGTGGCTCATGCCTATAATCCCAGCACTTTGGGAGGCTGAGGCAGGCGGATCACTTGAGGTCAGGAGTTCAAGATCAGCCTGGCCAATATGGTGAAACCCCAACTCTACTAAAAATACAAAAAATTAGCCGGGCATGGAGGTGTGCCTCTGTAATTCCAGCTACTTGGAAGGCTGAGGCACGAAAATCACTTGTACCCTAGCAGGAGAGATTGCAGTGAGCTGAGATCATGCCACTTCACTCCAGCCTGGGCAACAGAGGGAGACTGTCTCAAAAAAGAAAAATTGATGGGCTTTAAATACATATACATTGTTCATCGTATACACAATCCTCTAAAGCTTGTGGTATTAATAAGTTATACATCTGCTTGTATCTTTCACCTGCTAATTCTGCTTTCTATAAATATACCACAAGATAAGAGAACAAGAAAAATAATTTATGCGAAGTATTCACATAAATTTGTAACACTGAAAATTAAGAAATTGTAAAATACAGGAGGCCATGAAGCTAAGTATTATATGTGAATACAATGAAAGACAGAAATCCATCAAAGGTGACAAGAATTTGAACTATGTAAATACATAAAACTAAGCAGATACACTGGCATCAGTTATAAGAAATTTTAAGTATTAAGACCCTTGCACAGTCCCAAATGACAGAAAACCCAACCCAAACTGGCTAAGGAAAAGAGGAAATTTATTGGCTGATTAAAATTAAAAGTTTAAAAGGCACAAAAATCTCTCCAGAATGGATTATAGACCTAAACGAAAACATAACATTGTAAAATGTCTGAAAGAAAACACAGGATAAAAATCTAAGTGACCTTGTTTTTTGGTGATCGGTTCTAAAATGTAGTATCAAAAGCAAAATCCATAAAAGAAAAAACATGTTTAGTTGTACTTGATTAAAACTTAAAGTTTCGTCTCTGTGAAAGACTATGTTAAGAGAATGAAAAGACAAGTGATAGACTGTAAGAAAATTTTTTTGTGAAACACTTATAAAACATTTGCATCCAAAATATATACAAAACTTGGGCTGGGCGCAGTGGTTCATGCCTGTAATCCCAGCAATTTGGAAGGCGGAGGTGAGAGGATTGCTTGAGCTCAGGAATTCGATACCAGCCTGGGCAACATAGTGAGATCTTGTCTCTAAAATACACACACACTCTCTCTTAAAACTCAACAATAAGGAAAAAAAATTATTAAATAGGCAAATATAAACAGATACCTCACTAACAAATATATGCAGCTGGCAAGTAAGTATATGAAAAGATACTTAACATCTTTGGTGATTAGGAAATTATGAACTAAAACAAACTATGATACAACTACACACCTGTTAGAATGGCAAAAAGTAAATAGACAATACCAAAGACTGACAAGGACACGAAGCAACAGAGACTCTGATTCATTGCTGATGGGAATTTTTATAAAATAGTATAGCTAGTTTAGAAGACAGCTTGGCTTAACATACGATCCAGCAATTACTCTCCTAGGCATTTCTCAAATAGATTTGAAAACATATCCATGCAAAAGCCTGCACTTAAATGTTTATAGAAGCATTTCTCACAATGGCCAAAAATTGGAAGCCACCAAGATGTCTTTCAATAGGTGAATGGATGAAAAAAAAAGTGACACATCCAAACTGTGAAATATTACTCAGTGATATAAAGAAATAAGCTATCAAATCACGAAATGATATGGAGAAACCTTAAATGATATTGATAAGGCAAAGAAGCCAATCTGAAAAGACGACATACTGTATAACTCCAGCTTTATAACATTCAAGAAAAGGCAAAACTGTAGGACAGTGAAAAGATCAGTGGTTGCCAGAAGCTAGGGGGAAAGGGAGGAGGGGGGAATGAACAGGTGAAGCCCAGGGGATTTTTCAAGTGGTGAAACTGTTCTGTATGGTACTATAATGGTGAATGCCTGGTCTCAGTAATTTGTCAAGACCCCCATATGCTTTATAGCATAAAGAGCAAACCTTAATGAATGCAAATTTTTTTAAAATTATTTAGGAAATCATGGGATTTCAGGAAGGAATTCAGACTGTGACAAGAAATCTACTAACAAGTGCATAAAACGTTACCGAAGAGGCTAGCGAGAAACTGCAGGCCTAATTAACTTTGGAAATGAATCGAGTTTGTAAGAATAAAGGCAAAAGAATTGCAGATCAGCAGTGCACCCTAGTTGATAAAGTTCTTCTCACAGGAGTAAAAAGGGGATAAGAGTGAGGAAAGAGATGGTTTTCCCAAAGCCCGGTGAGTCACAAGAAAGGGAGTGGATGAGATGGATGATGAGCAACACAAATCATAAATGCCCACCATAAATAATGCATTTGATTATTTTTCTGTAACATTGTAAAATATGCTCACAATTTGGAAAAGAAAAAAAAAAAGGCCAGGCACGGTGGCTTACCCCTGTAATCCCAACCTTTTGGAAGGTCAAGGTAGGCAGATCACTTGAGGTCAGGAGTTTGAGACCAGCCTGGCCAACATGGTGAAATGCCATTTCTATTAAAAATACAAAAAAAAAAAAAAAAACCCAGGCATGGTGGCGCCTGCCTATAGTCTGAGCTACTCAGGAGGCTAAGGCAGGAAAATCACTTGAACCTGGAAGGGGGAGGGGGCAAAGAGCCAAGATCATGCCACTGCACCCCAGCCTGGGCAACAAGCAAGACTCCATCTCAATAAATAAATAAATTGGAAGAAAAGGAAATAAGATGAAGTTTAGTTTATGTCTTATAGACTTATTACAACTAGTCATATTCTATTTTTTAGATTTTATTATAATTTTGCACACAATGTCCAAAATATTTAAAGTTGAAGGAACAAAACACACACCAATAATTTTACTAGGTTTAATGCATATCTTGCTCAAATTTTTATCAATCAAATATGTCGTTTATAATGTTATGAGAAATTTAAATCAGTAATAATAAAAATTTGATGAAATGTATGTTTGTCATTACATCGAAGAAGTTTCTCTTGCACAAACCATGAAAGCTATGCTAATAAAAATAATCCTTTGTGAAAGTTACCTCAAATACAGTGACAACTGCTGTGTTAAAGACATGCTTACGGCGACAAGATATCGATGATCACACTGAATGGGCATAATGAGATAGCAGTATCATGTAAATTAAACATAGGTGGGCCAGGTACCGTGGCTCACACCTGTAATCCCAGCACTTTCGGAGGCCAAAGTGGGCAGATCACCTGAGGTTAGGAGTTCAAGACCAGCCTAGCCAGCATATTGAAACCCCCGTCTCTACAAAAACGCAAAAATTAGCTGGGCATGATGGTGGGTGACTATAATCCCAGCTACTAGGGAGGCTGAGGCTGGAGAATCACTTGAACACAGGAGGAGGATGTTGCAGTGAGCTGAGATCATACTATTGCACTCCAAACTGGGCAACAGAGTGAGACTCCGTCTCAAAACAAAAAACAAAGAGATTTTTTAAAAAAAGTGATCGTTTCATTGTTATGTCCATCATATACAATCATATATGTGAGAGAAAAAGTTAAGTTTAGATCTCCTTGTGAAAACATACACAAAAACTATTTACCTGTAAAAATCATTTGTTTTCCCACAGTAGTAGATGTTGGCTTTTGGCACGATACAGATGCCATGGCTAAAGTCTTAACTGTACTACTGGATTTTCTTCTTCAGCGTCTTCAAATCAGTTAAGCTGCACAGAAAGAACAAAAGACTCTGCAGTCCTTCCTCTCCCTGCCTGTGACCTGAACCAGGTGGTTGCTAAGGACTCTTTGACAGGGAGATAGAATGTTCCTCTTAGCAGAGTTCTGCGTTCCAATCTCCAAGCGCATAGAGATACTGCTATAGCCTTCCCAGAACTTGCATCCAGTAGTAACTTTTCCTTATTTGTCCACATCAAGTTAAAACACACTTGTTCAGGTACTAGAGCCAGTATGTGCTTATGTCTCAGATCACCCGGTAGGCTCAATCACCACTGTCTTTCAACATTTCACAAAGAATGTCTTGCAGAAATGTGTTGGAGCAAAAAACAAACAAAGATCCCCCACAAACCATGGTTAAATATATTTGACAAACACTGGCAAGATAAAATACAGTAAAAAAATAACAAATAAATGAGATAATTACCCACACAAATATATATAGATATATTTTGTCTCATATTTCAATCCCTCCTTAAACACTGCTTGTCCTTGGGTCTGTCAATTTATTTGTGGTTCTCAATCTGTGCAATGCTTTTTCATAGTTCTGAGCCTCTACACATACAATTTGCTCTTCCTGTAATGTTGCTATGCAAATATTTCTTGTCCTCTGACAGCCAATGTCACATCCGCTCTTCTAGGAGGATGTCTGCAGGCACAGCTAAGTGCTTTCTTCTTCGTGTCCCTTCAACCTCTACAGCACTGTGTTTAGACCTATCTTTTTAACTCACCACATTAATTATTTGTCTATTTTATTGACCTCCCCACTAGACTCTGACTTCTAGGAGTTTATAATAAAAGCATACTTATTTATATTTCAATTTCCAGAGACTGGTATGCAATAAATAGTTAATAGATGTTTGTGGGATGAATAAATGTATGAACAGTAATCCTAGCTTGCACAGAAATATATTGACCACCTGATAATCCATTGAAGATAAATTCTAACAGTAATTTTGTATTCAACACTAAATATATGGAGTTCTCTACTGTAAATGTAATACCTTTTACATGTTGATAATTAAAAGAAAAACACTATATTAACTCTGAAAAGGCTTACAGTAGGCTTATGGTAGGCAAAGAGATGTGCTACCCAGATAGGTTCCCTTTCAAGGAAGGGCTTGTAGCCCAGCTGGGGGAAGGATTGTCAGCAGACAGCGTCCAGCTGTCAGCACTTTCAGTGACTGCTTTAGCTGCAGAGAGCTGCCTCCTCTGCCTGAGGTCAAGCCTTTTCCAGGGTAGCCTATGTCAGGTGATTGGTATCAAGACCAGTCATTTCTCATCAGGTTGGTCAAAGCTGTGTTGAGCCCTTATCATAGTTGTTCTTCTTCCTCTGATCAATTCTGCTTCCTCTCCTTTCCTTTCACAGGTATTGAACCCAAATTACCACCTTGCCCTCAACTTCAAGAGAACCTGACCTGAGATAACTAGAAGCGTAAGCACATATGCACAGATGTATTATACAAGAGTGCTTCTCATTTTAACCACTCAACCCTTCTAGCCAGAAACTGTATATTTTCCCCCAGTGTGGGCAACTAGTCAGTCACTGTTGTGTTACTGATCTTTGCTGTCATTTTATTTGGTCCTGACCTGCACTGCACTCTTCTTTACCTCCCTACTGGTCTGCTACAGTTTCAGAAGCTTTCCTACTCTTTCTGTGGTTAATTAATTCTGGTTCCTATAGTCAAGGGCTCTCTATCTCTAGCTGAAAGTATCTTTCTTTGAAAAGTTCCTATTTGTGTCTTTGGAACTAACATTTTCCAAGGTACCCGACTTTGGACATTCCTAGAAGAGAGAAGCCTGCAAACATCACTTGTGGTCTTAAGGATGCTGAGAAGAGAAAGGAAGAAGGAACCTAAATGAAGAAAATAATTATTTGGTAAACAAGGCAGAAAATAAATGAGATCGGCCAGGCACAGTGGCTCACGCATGTAATCCCAGCACTTTGGGAGGCCGAGGTGAGCAGATCATGAAGTCAGGAGTTCGAGACCAGTCTGGCCAACATGGTGAAACCCCGTCTCTACTAAAATACAAAAATTAGGTGGGCGTGGTGGTGTGCACCTGTAATCCCAGCTACTCAAGAGGCTGAGGCAGGAGAATCACTTGAACCCAGGAGGAGGAGTTTGTAGTGAGCTGAGATCACGCCATTGCACTCCAGCCTGGGTGACAGAGCAAGACTTTGTCTCAAAAAGGAAGAAGAAGAAAAAAGAAATGAGATCTTGGTTTTTGTTGGAAGACATCCCATTAATCTTTCATGGGAAATGTGGGTTTCTGCTTTGCCATGGAGACTGTTAGAAACTTTAATCTGTTGCAGGCTTAGGGTCAGCCATTCTGATGGCAAAGGCTGGAGGGAAGCGAAAATATGAGAGAAGAACCAGATAGTTCTTCTTCACAAAATTATTCCACTAATTTGAGATATATTTAGGTTCATTTGTTTTGTGTCATTTCACTTTTTAGAAATTTAAAATTTTATTTCTCAAGTAACATATTTACATAGTTTCAAAGTAAAATCCTTAAGGGATAGTCAGAGAAGTCTACCTTTTACCCTTGTTTCCCCTTCCTGTTCCCTCCTTTTTCTCTTGCAGGAAACATTTTTAAAAATATAACTACAAGGCATGGCACACTGGCTTACTCCTGTAATCCCAGCACTTTGGGAGTTCAAGATGGGTGAATTGCTTGAGCCCAGGAGTTTGAAATTAGCCTGGGCAACATGGCAAGACCCCATCCCTACAAAAAGTAGTTGGATACAGTGGTCTGTGCCTATGGTCCCAGCTACTCGGGAGGCTTAGGTGGGAGGATCACTTGAGAGCCCAGGAGTTTGAGACTACAGGGAGCTGCACTGCAGCCTGGGTGACAGAGTAAGACCTTGTCTCAAAAACAAACATATATATAAACCTATATATGGAGGAATTATATATATATATATATAATTATATCTTTACCTTTCCTAAATGGTAACATACTGAACATACTGTCTTTTACCTTGCTTTTTTCTCCATAGCATTACATAAAGATATTTCTTCCCCCGTCTTCTTTAGTACAGCTGCATAATGCATTTACCAGTTTATTCAACCAGTCCACTATTAGTGGTCATTTGGGCAGTTTCCAATTTTTTGGCTATTGCAAAAATTGCTACAAAGTGTCGTTTTCTGCATACATCTTCTCAGATTTTTTGCAGACATCTTTGGGATAGATTCCTAGAAGTGATATTGCTGGGTCAAAGGAAAAAGACATGTAATTTTGTTCAGTGTTGCTAACCCTGCCACCATCATGGTTATATCATTTTGTATTCTCAACCACAATATCTGAGAATGCCGATTTTTATATGGTCTCACCCACAGACTATGTCGTGAAACTTTCTAATTTTTTTCAATATGACAGGTAAGAAATTGTAACAGTAATTTACACCTCTGTTCTTGTTAGTGTGATTGAACATGTTTTCATGTGAGTCAGGGACCTGTGCATTATACACTATGAATTGTCTAGTCTTTATCTCTTTTTCTATCAAGTTGTTGACTTTGTTCCATCCTACATTTTTAAAAAATGAGCTAACATTCTAAAGAGACACACAAGCAGAGATTGACAATACAATGCAGTAAGGGTAATGATAATTGTAGTAATACGTTTAATAAATACCTGATTTCTCAAGACAGGGGAACAGAGAGGAAGATCACTTGCCCGGAGCTCAGACAGAAGCTGAGGGCTGACAATGTGGTGAGGCAGGGTTTCCTTGAGGAAGCGAGGTTTTAACTGTGTTGTAGAGAATGACTAAGATCCAGACAAGGGACAGGGAGCTGGAGGTTGGGGAGGGTGGTGAGGGCATTTGGGGCAAAGGGTACAGCTTGAGCAAAAGGCTGGAGGGGAGAAACAGCCAGCAGCACTGTGCATAGCTAAAATACAAGTTCCACATTGCTGAAGAGTCATGACTAAGATGGTGAGCTGGGAGGTGAGGCTAGAGTTTTACTCTGTAGGCAATGAGAACCCTTGAGGGTTTTATAGTCTTATTTATTTATTTATTTATTTGAGGCAGAGTCTCACTGAGTCACCCAGGTTGGAGTGCAGGGGCTCAATCACAGCTCACTACAGCCTTGATCTCCTGTGCTCAGGTGATCCTCCCATCTCAGCCTCCAGAATAGCTGGGACTACATGAGAAGGGATCTCACTATGTTGCCCAGGTTCGTCTGGAACTTCTGGGCTCAAGCAATCCTGACTCAGGCTCCCAAAATGCTGGGATTACAGGAGTGAGCCACCATGCCTGGCCCTCTGAAAGATTTTAAATGGGCAGAGACTGGTTGGTATTGGGTTTAAATAGAAGCCACCTGACTGTGTGGAGAATGGGCTTCCGAAAATCGAGGAGTCCAGGGCCCAGCAGGTAACTGTTGAAGTGGTCCAGGGGAGAGGAGATGGGGCCTGAACTATGCCAGGCATGGAGGATACACATTTGGAGTGTTCATTGAAGAGTAAGTATGACCCCCAGTTTTCTAGTTTGCCTGACTAGTGAGTAGTAGCATCCCAAAATAACACAGAGAAAAACAGAAGAAAGAAAACCGAGGCCAATAAACAAATTGATGGCATTAACTAGATGTGGATTTGTACATGCTCCACAACAGGTGAATAGAGCAGTTAAAATTAAGCCCAAAGTCATAAAATATTGTGACAGCGACTGAACTCATTACTGGGACTAAAAGTAGTCTCCATGGGCCACCGGATGCCTTTTATTAGAGAAAATCCCTATTGTTTATGAATCAATAGTTGCCTCTTCTAACAAAACTCAGAGTTTGCTGCTCATTTTGGCTATTGTCTTGCTCCGGTAATTTAATAGCTACTTCAGAGTTGATAACCACTTCACCAGTTACAACTGTAGAGGCTAATGTAGTGGCCCTGCAAAAATATCTTGTTTTAACAGTTTGCAAAATAATCAAGGTATACATTTTAATGATATAAAAGAGATACAAACTAGATGCTTTTGTCATACAGCAGTGATAGATCTCCAGAGGAACACAGGTTAAAATATGCTGCAATTACATAATAACGTTCAAATATCTGATTACTAAGCACACTTTGCCAACTGGGAAGCTTTGCCACTATGTATCAGTGAACCTTTCCTTATACTTTTAAGTACTATGTGTATGGTACTTAAATATACATGGTACTTAAACATGTGTGTGTGTGCGTATATATATATATATATATATATATATATATTTTTTTTTTTTTTTTTTTTCTTTTGAGACAGAGTCTTACTGTTGTCCAGGCTAACGTACAGTGGTGGGATTATAGCTCACTACAGCCTCAAACTCCTGGGCTTAAGAAATTCCCCCAACCTCAGCCTCCAAATAGCTGAGACTAGAGGTGTGTGCCACCACACTTGGCTAATTTTTATACATTTTGTAGAAACAAGGTCTCACTGTTTCCCAGGCTGATTTTGAACTCCTGGACTCAAGCCATCCTCCTACCTCAGTCTCCGGAAGTGCTGGGATTATACTTGTGAACCGTTGCACTCAGCCTAGTACCGCATATTTTTGTCTTTTCCATGTATTCTGCATTCAGGAAATAATCTGGAAAACACACTGAATAAAGCCACAGACTTGGCTTTAAATCCCAACAACTCTTCTGAGTAACATTGGCAGATTGCTTTTCTATGAAATGAGAATCATTGTGCCTACCCATAGGTCAAATGGGATAATGCATGTAAAATGCTTGCCGCAGTGCCTGATACTTGGTATGCACTCAATAAATGTCAGCTGTAATATTGGTCTCATCACACCTCCCCTGAATCCTTGCCACCCACCCCATTCTTCCCTGAAAAAACACAGACGATTAACACAAATTTCAACAGTGACCATCATAACTTTACTTTTTGTATTTGAATTTGCAACACTAGCTCACAAAAGAGTCTGTAGTCTTCCTCTGGCTCATTTAACTCTAATTTTGGTAGAATGACGCTGGGCGTATAGTGGTGCTATTCCTGCTGGGCCAATCAACCCAACTTCCCCCAGTTGTACTTAATTTAATTGGGGATTATACAACATTTAGTCTTTTTCTATAGACACATGGTTTTTAAAATTAAATACATGAAGCATTATAATTTCTATCTTCTAATTGCTATACTACACACTTAAAAAACAACAGGTAAGTTAAAGCCAGTATTATAGAAACAATAATGGTCATATCTTATAAATGTGTGAGTTGTTACCATTAAAAGCAACCTTATCTATTACTGAGCCCAAACCCCTTATTTTTTCCATGAGCTGTCTGACACTGGGAGAGGTTAGTTGAGGAGTTAACCAAAAGTACCAGGGGAGTTGGAAGTAGCACCACCACCACAACCAAAAATCCCCAGCACTCCTGACTCTCAGTTCGGAATGCTTTTCTCTCTATTCTGCCTTGTGAAAGAAACTGTCATCTCATCCATGGTGTTGCGGGTATCAAAAGCCCTTGAAGGTTGCTCTAGTGTTTTATGTGGTCTTTCTCCTCCCACCAGTTTAATTTTCTGGTGAAGCCTTTTTCACTGATCAATGAACAAATATAAATATAACTGGACGCTTACTATGTGCCAGACATTGTGTTAAACACTTTCCCCAAGGTTTTGTTATCCACACAATAGTGTTATGACACAGAATTATTCACTGAAGAGGTGAGTTCTACAGTTTAGTGTCAAAGTTTTGCCCTAATGTACATCCATGACTGAGAATGTTGATTCCCAAATCTGGCTAATTATTTTGGGGTCTTAATAACCAAAATCTAATTTTGATCTTCACCAAACATGTTTTTCAAAATGTTATTTTTTACATAATTGAAATTCCCCCATATGAAAAACTGATCATAGTTAAACTATTCCCTCTGTGGGCTATTGCAACTTCCCAGCCTGTGAGTGCAAATGAGGTGACCATATCATTCAGTCCTAATACTTTCCTAGTTTAATATCTTTCCCACCCCTGTAACTATAAAAAATCAACCTCCTTTCAAATGTCTCCTCTTCTCCATCCACCAGTTCAAGTCTCTGGAGGTCCCAGATGCCCATGCTTCTCTCTTTGCTCTCTAATGGCTGCTGCTCTGTAAGTTTTAGCTTGGCTGCTGCTCAATCGTGTTTTATCTAAGCCAGTGGAGCACTTCTCTACATTGGCCATGGGTCAAAGTGAAATTCTGCTCATCTCTGATCCCCAGATCACTCAACTACCACTGGGCTCTGGCTACCATTCCATTCTTGGAACTGCCATTCTGATTTGGACTCCTTGGCTCAAAAAGTCCCTTACACTATGAGATTCTTTCTTTCTTTCTTTTTTTTTTTTTTTTTTTTTTTTTTTTTTAAATGGAGTTTCGCTCTTGTTACCCAGGCTGGAGTGCAATGGCGTGATCTCAGCTCACCGCAACCTCTGCCTCCTGGGTTCAGGCAATTCTCCTACCTCAGCCTCCTGAGTAGCTGGGATTACAGGTACGCGCCACCATGCCCAGCTAATTTTTTGTATTTTTAGTAGAGACGGGGTTTCACCAT